TGGGTGGTCTTTGTTGACTCTGAAGACAGAGAGGATCTGAGAGAGATGGGGGAATCCTCTGACCTGAGGCAAAGGAAGTTGGGGTTATACGAATTTTTGCTAGGGGCAGTGTTTCAGGGTTGGTTCAGTGACACACAACGAGCTGATCAGGGGCTCCCCTGTGTGTGTGGGAAAGGTGTCCAGGACTAGGATAGGGAAGAAGGGAGAAGTGGTCTCTGGGAAGATAAGCTGTTGTTTTGTGGGTTCAGCCATGTTGAATAAGGGCCATAATCACTGAGCAGTTTGTACTCGGGCTGGAACCCGGCAGATACCAGTCCTGGAGTCCAAAGCTGGAGATCCTAGAGTTCTGATGTTGCAGGGATCGGGACATTCTACCCCAGCTCGCAGAGACCAGCTACTTGTGTGCTTGTTCTCTCTGCCTCGGGCCGACTGGATGGTGCTCACCTAGCAAAAGCTCCACTCCACGCCCAGTCCACTCCACTTCCTGCACTGTCTCCCCTGGAGAAACCCTCACAGACCTGCCAACGCCATGCCTCATGGATCTCTAGGCACTCTTTAATCCAGTCACGTTGACAGCTAAAATTAAATATCATAATAAAAAAATTAAATAGAACCAAACAAGATATTTGGGGCCAAAGTATGTGCTATAAAGAAATTAAAGGCTTCTCACTCTTTTGTCTTTTTCCCTTGCTTCAATAATCGATACTTTGTTTTTATACAATTTTCAAGTTTAATCCCCTGCTGTGTTAGCTTTCGGTCACTGTGACAAAGTATCTAAATAAGTAACTTAAAGAAGAATACAGGGGCGAGGGAGGTGGCTCAGTGGAATAAGTGCTTCCCTGGCAAGCGCAAGCGCCTGAGTTCAATCCCCGGTTCCGCAAAAAAAAAAAAAAAAAAAAAAGAACACATTTTTGGCTCATAGTCTCAAGTTCTGGTTACTGGTTGCTTAGCACCTTGCTTGAGGCCTGTACCACATGCTGGCAGAAATTCATGGCAGACCCAGCTGCTTCCCTGTGCTGGCTGGAGAGGGCCCAGAAGGGGAGGCCAGGGACCCCACACCCACTCAAGCGCAGGCCCCCAGTGGCCTACCTTCCTCCCACTGGCCCCACCTCTTAAAGGTGCCACCACCTACCAACGGTGCCACAGGCTGGCAACCCCCCACAGCATACAGGGCTTTGGGGAACATTTAAAATCTGAAGCATAACACCTCCCTTGCACAAGAGGCGGTATACTGTAACACTGTTCTATGTTTTAGGTATTTCACTCTATTCGGCTTAGAAATCTTTCCAAAACAACATATAAAACAGCTCTCTTATTTTTTGTTCTAGCTACATAACATTCTGTTGTATGACTTTAATATAATTTTGTGATTATTCCTGTTTGGATATTTATTTTCAATCTTTGCTATAGAAATAGTGCTACAATAAATAATTTTGTAGGTATATAATTTTGCATGTGGTCAAGTACACTTGTATATTCGCTGACATAAAGTTGCTGGGTTATGTGCATTTGTAATCTGTCTTGAGACACAGCCTTGCTAGCAATTCAGGCTGGCCTTGAACTCACCACCTCTGGGCTCAGCCTCCACAGCGATGGGATTACAGGCATGCATCACCACCACACCTGGCTATCAGCAATTCCTTATAAGTACCTGCATACTGCTTTCTGTGGTGAGCTACAGCAATATATTCCACTAGCACTTGACAGGAGGCCTTTATTTCTCAGGGCTTTCCCAATGAAGTCTGACTGAACTGAAGTCTGTATACACTTTGGGGGTAAACTCTGTACGTGTCACTCTGTAGAGTTTGCTCAGAAAACGGATACACATTCAGCAGCTTATCATACTAACAAGTGCCTGGGAGCTAATGGTCACCAGTACCTCCTGTAGTTGCACAGGTCCAAGGTAACTTGTATCACATGATGTCTCAAGTTTAGTATTAAAATATCTAGACCTATTTCTTCTTTTCCTGATGAAGCCATTTTTTGGTAGACTATATTATCTCAGGGTGATTTTAATACGCTTTACTTTTAAGATGAGTATCTCTGAAGCATATTACAGCTGGTTTTTTTTCTATGAAATGTCATGGCCTTTGCCATTGTGAGTCATTAGTTCTCTCACTGATTTCTAGGGGTTCTACATTCAGTAAGGAGAATGCCAACAGTGGTAGCCAGCCTATGGCACATGCGCTGCAGTAGGTTATTTGTATCACTTAAAGCTCTAAAAGGTTCACCATCACTCCTCTATGAGTTGCAAAAAATACTTAAGATACCCTATTTTTCAACATTGCAAACTGTGTATTGTTTTTACATTCATATTTTTTTCTTGTCTTTGAAAGTTTTATGTAGTCAAATTTTTGAAACGCCGTAAAAATATGGCTTCTGGCTTTTGAGTCTCTGTTAGGAAGTCCCTTAAGGAATTCTTATACTGGATTTTTGTTTATAGTTTTTTAATATTAATAAAATTAATATATTGATAGTATTCCATCACTTTTTTTCACTTACCATTATTTTCTGGACATCCATGTAAGTAGATAAAAGTTCACTTCCGTGGTGCTAATAGCTGCGGTGTGCCATGGTACTGATGTTTAATTCTTTATGATTCATTATCCATTGTACCTGGGCTTTCCAGTGGATTCCCATTTTCCAACAATTACAAACAAACTTGCTAGGACAAGGCTTGCCTCGTGGCCCACAGCATTACAAAGCTGGGTCGCTGAGGAAGAGCACAAAGCCAGAGCAGCAGCAGGCTTTAGACAGCGATCCATCGATCTTGTTTCTTCCCCTCTAGGGCCCCCTACTGGTTCAAGCACAGAAAGCTGGCCCGGACTTGGAGACTTGGTTTCTCCGACTTGGAATAATGAAACTGAGAGGCCCTAACATGAGTCAGTCCCTCTATTTGACACAGGGCAACTGAGACTCACAGGAAGCTGGTAGCTTGTCCTAGACCACCAAGCTCACTTAGCCAAGAATTTGGGACCTAGTCTGTAGCTCAGGAAGTGCCAGGCTGATGGCTACAAGGTGTGACCCTTCACTTCCAGACACGTTCAGCAGGTCACAGTGTCCTAAGAAGCCAGCTGAAAAAACCTTAAACTCACTTAAGAACTCTGTATCTCTGGGTTATCAGTTATAGGAAAATTCTTTTATTTTTATTTTTTAGGAAAGGGCCTACAGGGTGTTCAGGGTCTCGCTACTAGATTGGACTCATAGTGATCCACCTTTTACAGCCTCCCAAGAGCTGTGATTTCAGGCCCATGTCACCACGCCCAGTCTCAAATGCCAGTTCAGTGCACCCCGGGGGCTGGGCTGGCACGGCAGACCCAGGTTTCGAACCCACAGCCCCGCACCTGCTTGCAGGTGCTTTCATCCGCTGAGCTATATTAAGAGTTCTGAAGTGCCACAAGCTGGCCTCTTCTCTGTCCTCACTCAGTATCACTGTGGGATGGCGCCTCCTGGGCTCCTCACCTCCATCACTGTATGCCAGTTGTGCTGGGAATAGAGTGAAGCCTAAGGGAGGAGTGATGTCAGTCCTCGAAACAGAAGGCATGCAGGACCAGAAAAGCACATCTATGCTGCTCAAGTAGTTTTCTACCCGTCTGTTGGCGGAGAGGAGCTCTGGGGCACTCTCCTGGAGCATGCTTCTCTAACTCCATCTATGTTTATTTGAAAGAAGCATCCTGTTTCACTAAACTGTCAGCTTCCTTGGTGTAAAAACTAGATCTGGTGCTCTTTGCAGCCTCAGAACATTACTGTATGATCAGTCTACATTCATCCCTCCATTCTCCAAGACATCAGGACGGCTACTTGATGTTAAAATTTAGTAGTCGTCTCTTTGCAGTCGCATTGTCTACATAACCCCATCAGTTTGTGTCTGTTAGTCTTTTATCTCTCATGAAACTCCAAGGCATTACAGGCTGGTTTTGCACTGGGTTCCCTTCTTCCTCAACTTTCCTATTTGTTCTGCCCTGTTCACATAGGTGTAATCTCACTGACTCTTTAGAAGAGAGTTTAGATCCCTGGATCTCTGCTGTCAAATGTAACAAAGCTGAAACTTAATTTTGCACCTCTGGTTCCACACATTGCGAATTCTTCGCTCTTCCAGGCTCAAGATGGCCTGAAAGGCCATTCCCACAGTGGGACGGGGTAAACTGGATTTCAAAGCTGTTGCTACTGTGCCAAGGAAGGAATCCGCATCGACACTTTTGCAAAAAAAAAAAAAAGGGTAATTTCCAGAGAAGTTGCCCCTCCCCTTTCCTTCCCTTCACGAGTCCTTTTCAGGAAACCAGAACCGGGACCACTAGGATATTCCAACTGCCTACAAAGGGGTCTTAGATCTGCAGTGGCAACAAAGGCCTATTTGTGCAAGTCTACAGCCCCTGAAAGATCTTTGTGTACATCTTCACAGGCCCACTTCTGATCAAAAGGCAAAAATGCTCTTTTTAACCAAGACAAAAAAAAAACAAGAAAATGAGTTTTATTCAATTTATTACAATAGGATGGTAACCCAGATATGGCCAGTGTTTTGGCAGGATGTTTGGCCTCACACTTTTGCAGGGGCAGAAGGTGGGATGATTCGCAATTGGCATCATTTTGCGTCCGTGACTGGCCTTATCAACACTCACACAAAAGGGGCGCGGAAGGTCTTCGACTGGCCTCGTGAGTTATGTTTCACCTAAGCCATTTGCAGAGGGATGGTTTTTCACAGTGAGCCAATCCAGGGACACAAACAAGCGAGGTTTCCTAACCCCCCTACTTTCCGGAGCACAGGGCTCTCCAGGGTAAAGTGCAAGATTAATCTCAAGGCTTCACCCGGGCGTACTTCCGGAGGTAAAGATCTGTACTTACTGTGATCAAATGGGTTCTTACTTCGGAGATTATTTTACAAAGAAGGCAAGTAAAACGCCCTGCAAAGCGCGCTTTCGAGCAGTCCCCGTAGCGACGCGTCGCAGCGCCGCAGGCTCAGCGCAGGGCCCGGGGAAGCCGCGGCCCAGGGGCGGGACGGGAGCGGTGGTTTATTTGGCTAAATGACGTAAGCTATGCTTCTGGCGGGTCTCCATTTTTCGGAACAGTAGCCCAAATGCTCCTCAAAGAAAGAGCAGACGCTGAAGGCAGCACTCAACATCCTTTCCACGGAAAGCACAAGTCTCAGCGAAGCGAAGGTACTCGGCTGAACACGGACCGGCCGCTCAGGTTTCCCAGCAGCCCCTCTTCGCCACGCCTCACCTCGTTTCGTCGCGTCCTCTCATTGGTCGCGTTGACGCACGCCGGCGCCTGCGCACTGCCTCCCTTTGAGGGTCGTGAGTAGACGCCATTTTGGCTCCAGCGGTGCTTCTGGGAAGTAATTATTGACCTGCGCGCCTGCCGGCCTCTCGGTGCAACCCTTTCTGAGCCGGTTTCCCGGTTGAAGCCTCCAATCTTGCAGCCGCTGTTTTTTTATTCTCCGTCTTCTCCGAACTCTCCGGTTAGGCGGGAGCCTCGAGCACTGAGCCGCGCCATCGGAGGTCACACCAGCAGGAAGCAGGTGACGGGGGCGGCGCGGGGCGCGGACACTCCCCGCGGAGAGCCCGCCTGCCATGGACTCCGAGTACTACGGCGGCGACCAGTCAGGTGGGTTGGCGCGGGGGACGGGCCGGGAGCGGGCGAGCGCTCCCTCCTGGGAGCTGCACCCGGGGGGCGGGCCGGCTAGCTGCGGTCTCCGCGGCACCCTCGGAGCGGGAGTGCGGGAGAAGGAGAGGGAGCCGGGGTGGGAGAGAGCGAGCGGGAGAGGGAGAGCGGGAGAGGGAGAGCGGGAGAGGGAGCGGGAGAGGGCGAGCGGGAGAGGGCGAGCGGGAGAGGGCGAGCGGGAGAGGGCGAGCGGGAGAGGGAGCGGGAGAGGGAGCGGGCCGGCCGGGCCGCAGACCCCGCGCAGTGCGCAGAGCGCGGCCGGGCGAGGCGGTGCGTCTCCTGGCGTTCAGTTTGTCGAGAATCCGAAGAAATGTTGACCAGGGGTTGGGGATCTTTGTTGTTTTGTTTTGCGGGCCCGGGGATCGAACTCAGGACCTTGCACTTGTCCGGCAGGCGCTCATGCCGCCGGGCTATCACCGCGGCCCCGTGCATAAATAAAGGGCGCACCTCTGGCGCGTGTTGGTGGTGCTTGTGCCTTTCCTTCCCCCGAGGTCGTTGCTTTTTCTCATTGAAGTTTGCTCTTCTTGATTGTCCAAGTGCACACTGCGGGCTCAGTGTCAGGTCGCCCGGGGGGACAGGACCTAGGGCGGGGAAATGGGCTGTTCGCCTTCGCTTCGTGCCCTTGTTCCATTTGGGTGTTCTGTATCAAAGGCCTTGAGAAGTTACTGCTTAAGGTGTTACCGCTTTCTTGAGTTTACGTCCATTCCTTATCATGACAGCAAATGAAAATCGACTGCTAAAGACTCTCAGTCGTGTACTGCTGTTTTGCGTAAAGCTTTTTTGTAATATTTTCAAGTTTTAGGGCGGGCCTGATAGCTCAGCGGATTGAAGCGCCAGTTTAGACAGAAGCAGGGGTCCGAGGTTGGATCCCTGGCCTGCCCTGCCGGCCCCGCCCCCAGGCTAGCTGGTTGACAGATTGAGACTGGGCAAGCCTGTAATCCCAGCACTCAGGAAGCTGAAAACAGGAGAATCACTATAAGTCTGATCTACGTAGTGAGACCCTGCATTAAACTTAAAAAAAAAAAGTTTTAAAAACTCGTTTATGTTTTAAATTACTTTAAAAATGATTACTTGTAATATAATACATAGGTTATGAAATAACAGAAAGTTGAAGTCAAACATTTTTAAGTGTCTCACCGAGTCTTACTTCAGCCTTAAACTGCCCTAAATCCCAGTTTTAGTTCATGTTGTTAAAGTATTGCACTGTGAGGTCGCAGTTCATATTTGCAGCTCATTTGTAACACAGTGAGTGCTCTACTCTAACGAGTTTTCACTGTTTCCAGGCAGGAGTTCTTGTGGCCTTCTACATAAACAATGTGCCATGTGCTAGGCAGTGGCTCTAGTGATTAGCTCTAAAGTGAAAGACCACAGGAAATAACTAAAGTGCTGTGGAAAGATGGTTTTAGGCTGGGCTTGGTGGTGCAGACCTCTAATCCCAGCACTGTGGAGGCTGAGGCAGGAGGATCCCTGTGAGTTTGAGGCCAGCCTGGCCTACATAAACAAGTTCAAGGCCAGCCTGAACTGCATAGCAAGACTCTGTCTCAACTCTAGTCCTTCCAAAAGATGGTTTGCAGCATAAGAGTTGAAATAATTGATCAGCACACTATTACTTAGAAGTCACAGGCTTGGTTTTTAGTGATTCTTTTTTCCTTTTCTTTTGAGGCAGGGTCTTTCTATAGTTCAAGCAGGCCTAGAACTCGTTATGTAGCCCAAACTGGCCTTGGATTTGTGTCAGTCCTACTTCAGCCTCCTGAGTGCTGGGATTATAGTCGTGCCCCGCTTTAGTGACTTTCTTAAACTTCACATTTCTCTAAGAAGTATTTTTGCTGCTACATTGTTAATAATTGTTGATATTTGCATGGATATTTTGTTCAAAATATTAGTATCATTTATCCTTTGTCAGTGTAACCTTTGCTCTGATGTTCATTTCACCAGTTGTTTTTGTTTCTGAGCAGATGATGGTGGTGCCACCCCAGTACAGGATGAGCGGGATTCAGGGTCAGATGGTGAGGATGACATAAACGAGCAGCATTCCGGCTCGGACACTGGAAGCGTGGACCGGCATTCAGAGGTATTGTCTAGGCAGCATCTTTGGGGGAGCTCTTCCCTTCCATTTCTCATGAGGCCTTTTTAGTTAGGTGTTACAGAGTCCTTATTGCAGGGTTTACATTTTAATACTTAAGTAAAGGAGATTGTAATCGAAAAATTGCTTATAGAATGAACAGGATGGTCTGGTTACTAATGAAATCACAGGTAAAGAAGTTCAGTTGGGTAGAATTTCAAGTACTGGCCTGTTTTTAACTATACCTTTTGAAAATAAGGACCAGTGAGATAGTTCAGCAGACTAATTGCCTGCTTAGGAAAGCGCAGGGACCAGGGTTCAATCCTGCACCACATGCTGTGTCGGGGCATTGTGGTGCACTCTTGTAATCCCAGCACTGGGGAGGCTGAAAACTGGTGGCTCACTACGAGTCCGAGTTGCGTAGTCAGACACTGTACCAAATACATAAAGAAATAAAAAAGCCAGGCCTGTCATATTTGACTGTGTTTCCCCATTCCAAATAGTGCCTTATTGGGGCTGTGAGCATTTGCAGTATGAAGAAAAGCTGAACTAGAAAGTTATAGGGTTCTTGCCCCTCAGACTTTACATCAAGTAAGCCTTCTTGTTGGAACTGTTACGCTGCATATAGTAAAGCAAGTAAAACTTGCTTTTGTTTAGAATTGCAGAGTAGATCTTATACATTTTAATATTTGTGACCTAATATATCAGTATTTTAAAAACTTAGTTTGCCTTCCTAGTTATACAGCCTCCCCTTCACATTGTTTTTTTGCCTTTACGTTGTTAGTGAAAAATAAAATCAATTTTTATTTATGTCCAATTTTAACTTGAATTTTTAGTAGACACAAATTTAAGTGAATAAGAAAGATGGACAGATTTTCTAAGAACATTCTGTGTATCATATTTTGCTTGATTGCACATTGCCAGAAAATTGTCCAGGTTTAGGTAGAATTCTCTCGTGTCATTTGCACATTTGCACGTTTGCATTAGTAGGTATTTAACATTCATCCTCTACTTACTGAGCACTTATAATGCCTGGGCTCTTGGTACTAAAAGTCAAAAATGTTTTCCTTAGGCTTATTTCTAGTGGGAGGAGAAAGACAATAAGACAATATACATATATTTAGAAGATTATAGTTTGTTAGAAGGTGACAGATGCTGTGGATAAAGAAGAAAATTAGATGGCTGGGCTGCATCTCAGAGGTAGAGCCACCTGTCTGGCTTGTTCGAGGCCCTGGTTTTAATCCCCAGTAGCACCACTGAGAAGAAGAGCATGAAGGTGGTCAGGTGCCAGGATGAAGGGGGGCTTGACCACTGAGCTGGGAAGTCCTCATAGGCCTGTTAAGAATGTGGCACTGGAGCCATGGCTGGAAGGGGAAGCAGGATAGCTTCACGGCAAGTGTGGGGAAGGGCATTCCAGGCTGGGGCCCCAAGGTGGGAGGTGCTTGAAGTCCAAGGGCACTGTATTAGTCAGCTTTTCATCACTGCGACCAAAGAAAAACAGTTTAAAGAAGAAAAGGCTTTCCCTTACAGTTTCAGAGGTTTCAGTCATGGTGTGCTAGCTCCACTGCCGTTAGGCCTGTGGTGATGCAGAAGCATCATGGTGGAGGAAAACCTTTCCTCCTGGCAACTAAGGGGAGAGAGGAAACGATGGGGTCAGGGACCAGGTGGAGCCCCAGGGCCACATCCTGCGATTCAGTCCAATTCAGTCCCTGCACGTAGGCCCGCTGGGTTCTGTCAGCTCTCAGGCCTTTCAGTTGCAGGCTTATCAAGGGATTAACCCTCAGGTCCGCTGTGAGCTTCAGGAGCCCTCCTCTGAGCCTGTTGGTCTCTGGGAGGACGCTTTAGACCCAGACCGCAGCAAGCACCGAGGAGTGAGCCCGGCTAGAGCGGAGTCAGTAAGGGATGGAGAGGCCAGGCTTGGATCTTTAGGCTAAGCTCTGAGATATTAGTGATAATTATTTGATAATGTAACGTTATGGTACATTGGGTATGTGATGTTTTGTTTCCACATTGGAAACAGTGTTAGATTGATCAGTACGGTTCGTGGTTTCTTGCTGGTTATACATTAACCAGCCATTCAAGCAGCCTTGTTTTGTGAGGAGACTGGATTCTTAGTAAATGTTCATGTTGTTGAACATTCATATAAGAATTTAAAGAAAGTTAAAATTGACATATCACTATTACAGAAATGACTATTTATTTATTTATTTATTTTGTGTGTGTGTGTAACTGGGGGTTGAACTCAGATCCTTGAGTTTGCCAGTCAAGCGCTTATCCTACTGAGCCATCTCCCCAGCCCCTTAGAAATGACTGTTAACCTTTAATGTTATTTCTTCTGCACTTAATTCTTCCCATGTGTGTAAAGTATGTATTTTGAGTTACTTGAGACTTTGCTACGTATATTTTGTGTCTGGACCTCAGATTGTACCTTCAGTATTTCTTCATGCCATTAAGGAATCTCAGTGACTGTTTTCAGTGCCTGCATGGTGCAGCAGCAGCATCATTCTGCTTCTCCCTCTGTGTGCAAGGGGCTCGGCTCTAGGACTCTGCCCCCGAGCCTGGGGGCTGTGGGAGGTTAGGGTGCTGTGGCCCCTGGAAGGGGTGGGGCTGTCATTTAGTGGTGGAATGCACACACACGTGGGCTAGAGCCTCAGCACCACAAACTGAACTAGTTGAAATGGCATGGTACTTGCCTGTGGCCTGTGGCACTCTCCTGTGTCATTTTAGGCATACTCTCGGCCGCAGATGCCTGTGCTACAATGAAAAGGCTGTATAAGTAGTTGTAACATTGTATTGTTTAGGGATAATGACAAGAAACAAAAAAGTCTGTTCTAGGCCCTCCTACATAGCAGTCTGTAGCAGGGTGAGGTACTGTTTCTTCTTTCTTTTGGGAGTGTCTCAGTTGCTCTTCTCTCCTTGCTGGGACAAATACCTGACACTCAAAATGAAAGAAGTGAAGGAAGGTTTATTAAGATCACCATTACTGGAGGTTTCAGTCCATACTCAGCTGACTCCAAGGCAGACTGGCACATGGCAGAGGGCAGCAGCTCATGGTGGCAGAAGGCAGCAAAACAGCAAGAGCAGAAGGGAGGAGCAACAGTGGCTACAGGGAATAAGTCTGTCTCCCTGAAGTTGCTGGGAGTACTACTCATACCTGTAATTCCAGCAGCACTCACACCCATAATCCCAACAGCACTCACACCCATAATCTCAGCAGCACTCATACCCATAATCTCAGCAGCACTCACACACATAATCCCAGTGGATCATGAGTCAATCACAAACTCTAGAGGTACACCCCATGCCTACATGAGGCTTTGGGGGGACACCTAGACACAAACCATAACGGAGTAAGCTCCTTGCTTCCTGTGGTTAAGTGTTCCTCCTTAGTTGTGCTACAGCACCTGGGAACAAATTGTTGTGCATGTTAATCCCATCAGGTTGTAGTGGCTTTGAAGAAATGGTGGCTGAGAACAGTGTTTGGCAGGCAGTCTCGCCCCAAGATGACACTCCCAGCTGTCTTAGTCCTTGGTTCTTTCCTGCACACTAACTGACCTATAGTTCGGTGTGTGTCTAGAGTCCCTTCGCAGACGCTTTCCTCCACAGCTTCCCCATTCTGCTTCCTAGTGAAGTCATACTCTTTGAGGAGAGATTACGAGCTTTCTGCCTAGGATCTCTTTTCTCCAGGCAAGATCTCTTAGCCTGGGCTCAAGGAAGTGGCAAGTTTCTGCTCCGTGATAGCACCACGCTAGAAGCTGCTTGGTGGAAGTGGGAACGAGGTGGCAGCTGTTGTGGTGTGGTCTCACCAGCCAAGGCTGGGGACAAGAGCCCTTGTATGTTCAGGGTGAGGCACTTACCTTGTTCTCAGTAGAGCCCCATTGCCTTGAATAAGGGATAGCCCGGAGCTGGGAGCGCCCGCTTCTCAGATCCACTTGCCCAGGACTTGGACATCTGAGGACAGAACATCTATCTAGCTCTCCCAGGAAAGAAGAGTCAGGGGGGCCTGCCCCTTAGCTCAGTTCTTTAGGTGGCTGCTTCAACAAAGCAGTCAGGCTCAGGTTGCTGTGGTTCGATCCCCACAACACAAGCCAGCCACTCATGCCTTGAAGGCATTCGGAGAAAAAAAAAAAAAAAACCACTTGGGGCCGGGGAGGTGGTTCAGTGGAATAAGCGCTTCCCTGGCAAGCGCAAGGGCCTGAGTTCAATCCCCAGTTCCGCCAAAAAAAAAAAAAAAAGAAGAGTCAGGCTTAAAGTAGGGGCAGGAGGAGGCCTGTGTTTTGACTTCAGGAGCAGTCAAAGGTCTGTCTTGCTGAGCCAGCTCTGAGACTGGGAGGAGACAGTAATCTTGGTTCAGGTGCCAGAAACTGGCTCTCACCTCTCGCCAAAATTTTACAGACGTTTCTTTACTTTCTTTTTGCCCTTAGGACCACTCGCAGATGGTCGCTTTCATGCTGTCTCGTTGTTTCGCTGGGGAGCAGGCTGTAGATCTTGACGCGCAGTGGTGCCGCAAGTCTTTGTTGGCCTTCACGTTTCTTTCTTGCTTCTTGGCCAGACCTTTTTGTGGTCACCTTTTCAACTCTCCTTGGGACCCACATCCTTTGTCTGTTACCACAGTCTGCCGGGCCTACTGAGTTCTTTCAGCCCTGGGTCTCCTGTCTGTGCGCGCGTCGGTCGGCTCTCTGGGCCCTGTCCTTGGCTCACAGAGGGGGTCGTGTTGCCCCAAACATGGCGTTCTTCCAGGCCGGCTGAGATGCCTGAACATCCCTGTGTGAGCGGGTATGTTGCATTTCGGTTCCCTGGGCGGGAGACGAGATGATAGTAACACGTCTGCCCCTCTCACTGCCAATTCAGAATGACCTCTGCACGTTGCTTGCCAGCGCTCGGGTGAGGAGCCAGGGCCCCCATTCTGATAAGGACACTGAAGTGTACACTAGTAGGGATAAGAAGGAAACAGGAAGCATTCAGCAATATAGAAAGCAGGTGATTAAAATACAAAGAAGTGGTTGTAA